GGTGCTGGGCCCAGCGCGCCGCGCTCGCTCCCCGCCCCCTCGCTCTCGGGGACCCCGCCTCCCCTCCCCGGCCCGGCTGCCCACCCGATCCCGCGGGGCCCTAGTCCTCCGCGGCCCGCCGCGTCCGTCGTCACCCCCGCCCCGAGCTCGGCCCCCACTTCCCGCCAGTTGCCCCGGATCCTCCGCGGCGACCCAGAGTGGCGCCTCGGCTCCCCTCCGCAGGATGTGGGCCGCCGGACGCCCGGCCTTCTGGGGCCCTTTCTCGTTGCGCTTGCAGAGCGCGTGTGCTTTCCCTCCTCCGTGGGGCGCTGACGTCCCCCCGGCCGTTTTTGCCAAGGTTACGGTTCCGGATCCCCCGGAGGAAGCGCTCCACGACCTGATACCTGATTCAGTCTGCAGCGGCGTCGATGTCGCTGTAGCTTCGGGACTTCCGAGGCCTGTTTTTAGCTCCCTCCGTGTCTGGGTGCACAGCTGCAGGCCGGCCGTCTACCTGCCTGGCCCCGATTCCCCCGCAGCGCGCCCCCTGCGATGGGGGGTGTCCTGGGGTTCCCAGGCTGAAATGCGCGAATGCACGACTGATGATAATCAGCGTCCACTCTGGTGGAGCGCTGGGGATGGTCCCAGGTCCTGTTCAGAGTCTCGACGTGCGTTGTCCCCGGTAACACGCACGCTTCGCGAAAACTCCATGAGGTGGGTCCTGTTAGCCCCATTCTCTTGATGAGGAAACTGAGTTAGCGTAATTAACTTACTTGTCCAGGTCAGGTCACCCAGCTGGTAAGGAGCAGGGATGTGAATCAAGATGATCTGGCTTCAAGGCCCCCGTTCTCCCCTTTGGTCCTTTTATGCCACATCTCCTTTATAATAAGATAAAGGAGCCAGCAGAGGGTTGAGGCGTTCCGTTCATCAGATCCATTTAAAGGCAGAATGACTGGATAAATGGGAATCAGTACGATATACTGGATAGATTTACATCTTGGGCCCCTTCGGTTTCTTGACTCAAGGCTCGTAGATCCAATGTCATATTCCACATCTCCATTTGGATGTCTCATAAGCACATTGAACAAAATTTCTGTCTCCCCCCTCAGCCTGCCCATCCCACGTCTGTCTCCCATTGTAGTAAGTGGCAAATCCAGTCTTTGAATTGCTCAGGCCAAAAACCTTGAAGTCACCCTTGTCTCTTCTCTGTCTCCTCTGCCACAGCACATCCTGTCTGTTCTACCTTAAAAACATTTCCAGAGGGGGACCCCTTCTCACCACCAACGCTCTTTTTGGGCCTGCCTTCCACCCCTACCCTTCTAACAGCTTCTCAGCCCAGAAGCCCGGGTGGCCCCCTGATACCACCCTGTGCTCCGCTCCCACCACTCTCTCCCTGACTCGCTCTGCAATAACCGCTCTGTTGTTCTCGGTGTCCCTTGAATGGCCCATACGGTCCCTCCTTGATGCCTTTGGACCTGCTGGTTCCTCTCTGTGAGTCAGTCTTCCCCCAGATACCCCATGGCACCCCCCTTCACCTCCTTCAGACTCACACGTGCTGACACGTGAGCTGTCGCTTGTAAATTGCATCATTGAACGGGTAGGTGTCAGAGAAACAGAATGCCTTGTACATAAAATTTTTGCCTAATAAATGCCACGCTCCCCTAAGACTTTGGCTCTGACACCAGTTCTGGCATCGTTGTCCTCAGGACATCGAATCTTAGTGGCTTTTTGTGCCTCACGTATCCCTGCCCTCCTTTGATTAGTTTTATGTGTTCCTCGGCCCCGTTGCCGGCTCTGGCTCGAGGAGCCTGCCAGGATGTTTAGTTTCTTATCCGCTGTGTAAACTAGGCCTTCCTCACCCGTGCGTTTGGAAGCTTTAGGGAGTGCCCCATACGTGTGCTTTGCTTCCTGCTGTTTAAGCTGAAGTCAGACGCCTCTTGGCTTATGTCTTTCCAGATTGGGATTCTAAGCTGGTCCATCATCACACCCAACCCCTCTGTGTGAGTCTAAGGCAGTGGCTGCCCCCCCCTCCCTGGGGCTGGGCGTCAGAGTCGCCTAGGGAGCTCTCTTAAAATGCTCGGTCCCCACGCTCACCCGACCCATTCCGATTCTGTGAGATGTTGGGTGGGCCCTGGGCATCCATCCAGTTAGAGAGCAGGTGATGCTGATGCGCAGCCCGGGTTGAGAACCACCAGCCTGAGTAGTACACGATAGGAGTGCTGTGTTGTGTACAAAGAAATGTTTCCCGTTGTGTATCCAGTTCGGCCTCTTATGGATCCTTGTTGCCATGGTGATCGCTTCAGGGATGGAGACAGCGGCTCCCACAGCCCTTTCTCCATAGTCCTCTAGTCCACGACTTGAAAGTCCAGTTGGAATGCTTCTCTCCCAGGAGAGAGAGAGAGAGTGTGTGTGTGTTTTATACTTGTGTCCTAGGATATTCTTTTCTGCTTGGCGTTTCAATGTTGACACATCCCAGACGCATTAATCATCCTTTCTCTGGAGTAACTCTGCGTCGTAGGCTGACGTCAGGATTTGAAGGCACCGTTTAGTCCCTGGTGATGGTAAAGAATGGGAAGAGGGTGAGCGGCGTGTCTTTGAGCTATAGGAAGTCTGTGATTCTAGATGTCAGCATTAGCAGAGACCATATACGTGTGCATTCTTGCTGGCCACCTGGATGTGCGTGGTGGAAACCTGAGAGACGGTGGAAACCTGAGAGACGGTGTAAAGCAGAGTTCTCAACTTTGGCCCCCCTGACATCTGGGGCCAGATGATTCTCTGTCGTGGGGGCCTTCCTATGCCTTGTAGGATGTTCAGCAGCATAGCGGCATCTGTGACTCTGTTCACAAAATGCCGGTAGCACACACCCTCCCCTGCCCCCTTACTCCGGGGGACATATGACCAAAAGTGTCTTCAGACATTGCAGAATGTCCCGGGGCCGGGGACTGGTATATAGTGAGGTGGGACCCAGGCTTTGCCTTGTAGACAACCGCCTTTGTGTTTTGGATCTGCCTTGTACTCTCTGAGTGACTTCGGGCAAATTCTTAACCCCTTTGAGCCTCAGTTTCCTCACCAGTAAAATGAGAATAGTGATGATCATAACTATCATGGTTGCTGTGAGCATTGGCTGCCTTAATGCTGTAAATTATTTAGCACCTATCTCAGCCCACGGTAATAAACAGTCGGTAAGTGGTAGCTATTTTTACTACAGTGAACTCGTGTTATAGACACATTTAGTTTAAGTGCTCAGCAAAGAGAGAGCAAGAAATGCGTGGAGAGGGCAGTGACTCCACCCCCTCGGAGTGAGATGGCCCTGAGGGGAGCCCAAAAACTGGATTTTTATTCATGAGCTGGAACTCAGACAGCTGGAATCCTCAATTCACTCGATTCTCACCACCCCCTTCCCCTGCCCTAAACCCGATTTTTCCAATTTGTTCATGAAGTTCTGATAAACACGAACCCTGGGATTTGTCTCGAGGTCAGAGCGTGTACATGCGGCTCTCCAGTGCCTCTCGTGTCTCTAGCAGGTGGGGCCTGGTGGTCGCTGAGGGGGGTCGTGCGACCTCAGAGGCTGCAAAACCTTTATCCCCTTTGAAGAAAGTGTCAGTTTTGCCCAGGATCCTGTGAACAGACAGAAAAGCTTGTAGTTCTGCAAGTTTAAAACTTTGCAGCCACGTCTTCAGCCTGCCTCGCAGTTAACTGGAAAATGGAGTTAGCCCAGCAGCCGCGCTCCCCTCGCGCATTCATCGGGTGTGGGGATCTGGGCTGGGCTTATGCTTGGAGGGAAGTGACGGAGTGGAGGTGACAGGAATTCCATGAGGTTAGAGCTGGGGAGCCTAGAAAGGCGTTTGGAGGGGGGCCAGCATTTGGGGTTGACAAAGGGGGCATATTAAGTACTAGCTGAATTCCGGCCTAGTGGGTGAGTTCAGGCAGAGAGAATAGGCCGGGGTGGAGTGGGAGGCTGAGGGCTGGCCGTTTGGGGAGCAATGGGGTGCATTTGGGGGATCTGAGAAGGGCTTTTCTCACGTAATGAGGACTACACAAGCAAGCAGCGGGCAGGCAGAGGTGGCTGCTGTTCCCTGGCCGGGCCCGGTAGCTCTCCATGGTACTTTGAAGCAGTCGGGAGGCAGATGGGTTTGCATCGTTGTCTGTTCAGGAGCCGGTGGTGGTGCTGGCCGTGAGCGGCGGGGGATCCTGGTTTTGGATGAAGGGGATCTGTTTTGCCAGCTCGGTGCAGTAACCTTCCTGTGGTCCCGTGGAGTCACGTTCCGGGTGACTGCACCACTCCGTAGAAAGCTCTATGGCACAGGGCCTCAGAGTACAGCCCTCCTGTCCACAGCTCGCTCCGTCCCCGGTCATCTTGCCGCTCCGTGCCCGTGCGTAGCGCTCGCTGTGAATCTTAACCCTCATGGAGCTTCACGCTCGTTCACGGGGGTTGTGGAGGAACATAGAGTGACGCCGGGGCCACAGCGTCGGAGGTCACTGCAGGAGGTCCGGGGTGGCTGCAGTTTTAAAGAGGCCCACAAGTGTTTAATGATGTGAAGCCAGAGTGGAAACCCGCAGGCAGGAATTGCAGACAGGCCCCAGGGGCAAGCAGACATCTTTAATTTGGCCCGTTTAGGGTTTTGTTTGT